CCCCCCCCCCCCCCCCCCCCCCCCCCCCCCCGGGTTTTCACTATATAAATCATGGGCCAGAGAATCAACTGATGTAAATCATCATCAGTCAATGCAGTCAATCGCACTATTCGTATTTTCCCTATCTGAGGGTCTGGCCCTACGTTCTAATCTATGGGTATCCCATGAAAAGCTTGACTATGTCAGAATGTCTTGAATTATATCAGGCTCACAAGATACTTGTAATGATGATCCTATTTCAGACCAAAAAAAGTCAGGATTTTCATACAAGTACCTTTCCCTTCCTGTTACAAATGAAAGTTCTTTTGCTTCTCTTTTTACTGACGTAAGAAGGCATTTCCAGGAAGTAGGCTAACTAAAAAAAGAGAGTTTGCTAAACAGAACTATTTCTGCACTTTAATACCTGTGTGAAGGTTAAGACAGTTAGAATGTAATAACCAAAAGTTTTCTTTTATTATAAGCTCTTTAGATAGATATGCACAATGTTATGTATAAATATTGCCAAAGAACTGGATCTGAAAAGATGACGATTGCTGTTAATTAAGAGGGCCTTGTGCTGTATTCTACTGGAGTCAGAAGGTAGTAAATGCTTGTGAAATGACTGGAATGTTGTAACCTAAATTAGTTGCCAACATCTGCCAAAATTATGAGGGTACTGGGAAATATAATACACTTTTTTTAAAGGCTGTAGATTGTAGGCACTTAATGGTATCGCTAGAAGTCATCCTGATCAGGTAGAGATGTAATCTTGATTGATAAATAGGTCTGCGGGACTGACAGTTCATTTTAAAGCTGATGAAATGCTGTTGTTACATTACACATTGAAATGGATATGTTGAGGTTTGTTGTGTGTGTATTAAAGAACGCTGGTGCTATATGGGCTGCTGAATGGGGTACAATCTGCCTTCCAGATTGCTCAGAAACTAACACACACAAATCTCCACCAAGCAGCGGCAAAGTTTGAAAGCATTATTGGGTGTTAAAAGCTACCTAGTTACATACCACCAGGTCACTGTTAGGGTAGCGACATAAAAAATTAAAACTACTTTCTGGCCAAACATGCTACTTGGTGAAACATCTCAAGGTAGAATCAGATCACTGTATTGTGAGAAACACACATCACTGATGAACCGCCCATGAATTAGGGATACAATCATATAAAAACAAATACAATACACTAAGATGCTGAACTATGACCATTACAAGCCCTTGACTCACTGCATATCACATTAGGACCACACACACACAAAAATCTCCAGCTTCTAAACCATGCTTCTCCAACTGAGCCACCGAATTAAGCCAGCTTTTGGAGAGGTGTGCACCTTCCATTTCACTGCATTGAAACCATCATCAGGAGAACATAGTTCAATGGCATGATCTTGGGAGAAGCAGGAATTTTGGTTCAAGCTGATTGGATTGTAGACCTAGAGTTAATCGAAACAAATATTTCATTTGCCATCTCGAAGAGAAAGGAAAGAAATGTCAA